GTAGCCATCATAGCCAGAGCATCTGCTATGTGGTTTTTGGATCTTGGGACGTGTTTGGAAGTGATTTCATCAAAATACTCGATCATCTCCAAAATATAGTCTTTGTAAGGAATCAGCTTTTCATCTCGGGTCTCCCATTCACCCTTGAGTTGATAAATTACCAAGGCAGAGTCGCCAATTACTTCTAGAATCCTGATAGGAAGGTCAATGACAGCCTCAAGACCCAGGGTGCAGGCCTCATACTCAGCTATGTTTTTTTTACATTTGAAGCAAAATCTTGCAGTAACAGCAGTGTAGCCACCAGTCAGATTTTCCAGACATACACCAACACCATGGCCTCTTTTGTTGGACGCACCGTCGAACATCATTTTCCAACAGGAACCAGGTTCAGGACCCTCCTTGGGGCGAGGCTCTTCTTTGGCTTTGTAAAGAAGCATGATATCTTCATCGGGAAAGTCGAATTTGAGCGACTGATAATCTTCGATAGGTTGATCAGCAAGGTAGTCTAACAAGATGCTTCCTTTTATTGCCTTCTGAGCAACATATTGAATGTCATACTTTGATAAGAGCATATGACATCTTGCAAGTCTTTTCGTCTGAGCAGGTTTTTCAAATATGTATTTTATCGGATCCATTTTGGATATCAATAGAGTAGTGTGGCAAATCATGTACTGCCTCAGACGTTTGGCTGCCCAAGCTAGAGCGCAACAAGCTTTTTCCAATGGAGAGTAACAACTTTCACAATCAGTGAATTTCTTTCTCGAGTAATAAATTGCATGCTCCTTCTTTCCTGACTCATCCGTTTGGCCCAATACCTAACCCATCGATTCCTCGAGCATAGTCATGTACATGAAGAGAGGCCTTCTAGGCACATGAGGGATCAATATTGGAGGCTCTAGGAGGTACCCTTTGATCTTTTCAAATGCCAACTGGAAATCCCCGTTCCACACAACTCCTTGATCTTTACGTAGCAGCTTAAGTAGGAGTTAAGTTGGAGATACACCTGGAGATATAATTCAATATGCCAAGGAAACCTCTGATCTACTTCTAAGTTTGTGGGGCGGGCATTTCCTGGATGGCTCGTACCTTGTCAGGGTCTACCTCGATTCCATGTTGACTAACAATGAAGCCGAGTAGTTTGCCAGATCTGACTCTGAACAATGGCAAAAATCCTAGTGGAATTAACTCTACCCATATAACCCTCATCCCAAAATGCAAGCACCCTAGTACTCCAAAGTAGTTTAGGCCAATTAGCTTGTGCAATGTGGTTATGAAGCTGGTCACCAAGACACTTGCCAACCGTATGAAAGTCGTTTTACCTGAGATTATTGACGAGGAACAAAGTGGATTTGTGCAAGGGAGGCTAATTACGGATAATGCCTTAGTGGCTCTTGAATGTTTTCACTGGCTTAAGAAGAAGAAAACTGGAAAACGAGGTCACATGGCCTTGAAGTTAGATATGTCAAAGGCATATGATCATTTGGAATGAAGCTTAACTACTAAAGTTTAATCTGCAATAGGATTCCCTGGTCACTGGATGAATCTAATTGAGAAATGTATTTCAATAGTACCCTATAAAATTCTTCTAAATGGCCAACCTTGTAAAGTTTTTTATCAGGGTAGAGGACTCCGTCAAGGAGATCCCCTATCACCTTATCTGTTCATTATTTGTGCTGACGTTTTTTTAGGTCTCATCATAAGAGAGGTACAAGACAGGAAGGTACATGGCATTAGGATTGCAAGGAAGTCTCCTTTGATTTCACACTTATTCTTTGCTGACGACAGTCTACTTTTCGTTCGTGCAAATGATGCAGAAGCTACTAAAGTTTTAGAGATCCTTCAAAGATACCAACAGGCATCAAGGCAAGTGGTTAATCTGGACAAGTCAGAGGCTTCATTTAGTCAAAACATTACAGATGAGTTGAAGGAAATGATCCGGTTAAGGATGGGAGTTAAGACAGTTCAAAGCCACGCCAGATACCTAGGACTGCCAGTTGTCTTTGGGAGATCTAAAAAGGAAATCTTTGCTCTAGTAGTGGATCGTGTCTGGAAGAAGATCAAGGGTTGGAAGGAAAAGTTCCTCTCAAGGGCAGGAAAAGAAGTCCCCATAATAGCTGTAGCTCAAGCAATCCCTAACTATATAATGAGTTGTTATAAAATTCCTGAAGGGATTTGCAAGGAAATTGATAATTTTCTTGCAAATTTTTGGTGCGGAGCAAAGAATGGAGAGAAGAAGATACATTGGCTTAGATGGGATAGAATGTCCAGGGCAAAGAAAGATGGAGGGATGGGCTTCAGAGGAATAAATTAATTCAACACAAGCCTTCTAGGGAAGCAGTATTTGAGGCTTTTGAAAAATGAATATTCCCTAGTTGGTTGAGTTTTGAAAGGGAGATATTTCCCAAACTGTCAAATTGATGATTGTCCTGCAGGTTTCAACCCTAGATATGCTTGGAGGGGAATTTTAAATGCTAGGTCAGTTGTTCACATGAGTGCTCGGTGGAGGATAGGGAATGGAACAAAAGTCTCAATTCTTAAAGATAGATGGATCCTAGGAAACCTAGGCTTCAAACCCCTGCAACAAGTCAAAACTGAGAATTTGGAGCTGAAGGTTAGTGAATTAATAGATGCAAACACAGGTCACTGGAACTCAGAACTTATATTTTCAATTTTTGGACACTCTGATGCTACTCTAATAACAGGAATCCCTCTATCTCAAAGAAACAATGAAGATGTTATCATTTGGCATTATGAAAAAGATGGAAATTATTCTGTGAAAAACAGCCTACCACCTGTGCTTAAATGAAAGACTTATCTCTACTCCAGGCCCATCAAGAGACCCTCACCAGAAACTTTGGAAGCTAATATGGAAATTCCAACTGCAAAACAAAGTTAAAAATTTCTTGTGGAGGCTGGCCAAAAATATTCTCCCAACAAAAGGAAATCTTAAGAAGAAAGGTTTGCACATTGATACCTCTTGCCCTTTTTGTCAATCTTGTCCTGAATCTATTGATCACCTGTTTCTCGACTGTGTTTTTGCAAAACAAGTATTTTTCTCTTCCACTATAAGTATTAGGATTCCCACCAAAGTGGATATATGCTCATGGCTCTTGATGTCGTTGTTAGCGAAAAATCATGAGTTCTGTCAAATATTTTGTGCACTGCTATACAAAGTTTGGTTGGCGAGAAATCTCCTCCTGTTTCAGTCCAAATCCTCTTCTCCTCTGCAGGTTTCTAATAGTGTTATGGATATGGTATCTGAGTTCAATTTATGGAACCAACATAGTAGTCATCTAAATTCGCCCAACAAGGAATCTCAGGCCTACAACAGAGACACCATCATTCTTTAGATAGATGTTGGAGTATTTGAGGATGGCACCACAAGCTTTGGTTGTGTTTTAAAAGACTTTACAAATAAAATCCTTTTTTCTGCGTGCAAGACTGATAGAATTATGGTGGTCCTGCAGTAGCAGAGATAATGACTATTTTCTGGGGACTGAACATCACGTCGAAGAACAATGTCAGGAAGATTTTAGTTCAGTCAGATGCCTTAAATGTTGTGGATTGTATCAACCAATGTTTGAACTTTGCTGCCATAGAGCCTTTAGCAGAAGATTGTAGACAATTATGTAGGAACTTTTCTTTTTATTCCGTGATCCACATTTCTAGGAACCAAAACCTCTTTGCTCATAATTTTGTGAGAGTGAAAAATGTTTATGGTTCAAACTCTTGGATAGGGGAATCCCCCTTTCTAAATTCTCAGGGCCTGTTTGATCCCTTCTTTGCTTCTTAATGAACGAAGTTTCTCAAAAAAAAAATATTACCCTTATTTTAGGATCCAAACTTAAATCTCTAAACTCTAATTGCATATACATAGTCATTATCAAAGCAAAGTCTTTTTTTATTAGAGCATTAATCACACTATTTATTTTTCCAAAAATTTAATAAATATTGATATTTAATGTTAGAATGAGAAAAATAATGTGAATGGAAGGAAATTTATTAAAAAATTTAATGAAAATTGTATGAAAAAATGTTTTTGTTTTGTAAAAAAAAAAAAAAAAGAGTTGAACTCTAACCCTATAAAAATTGAGAAAAAAGATAAACGCATCAACAATATTACACATTACTAGTGCCAAATAATATTTATTCTATTTTCAATCTAGCACCACATAATTATTTTTTTATCATTATATAATAATATTAGTACATATTTGTCACGAGGCAAAATAAACAAGAGAAAATCACAGATACATGTCCGTACATAGTGCAGTGCCCCATTCCGTTCATACATATCCAAAATCCAAAAACAAAACAAAACCCCCAATATCTGAGCCAATTTTCTCTTTTCCATCTCCTCCACGTGTCACCTTTTCATTCGCTCCCTCTTTTTCTTTTTTGCCCTCAACGCACATTACCATTATTAGTCCACACGCACACACACCCATAAACAACAATATTCTCCAAATATCTTCTCCTTCTTTTTCTTTTCTTTCCTTCTTCATCCAATTTTATTCTTCATCCAAAATTCACTCTTCCAAACAAACTCATGTGTAACTAACTCCATGGTTAGTTTTAGTTTTTCTCTTTTTATATTTATGTATATTTTTTAACCTTTATTTTTTTTTCCTTTTTGTGGTTCTCTTTTTCTTTGTAATATTGTTTTCTTTTCTTTGTTTTTTAGATGAACTGCACCGAAAGGTCTTGTGCTTCTATCTCAAGAGATTGAAACTAGGGGTATATGCTAGCTACTTTTCAGGGGTAGGAGAAAGAAAAAAAAGAAGAATTCATTATTATTATTATTAGATATGATGTAATAAAATTTCTCTTTTTATTTATTTATTTATTATTATTATTATTATTATTGGTTTTGGTTGGTAAAGTTTGAAATTTCAACTGTGTTATATACCTCTAAGATGCTTTTGGGGTTTCAGAAGTTATTTTTGTGGGCAAAAATTGAAATGAGGAATTGGAGTATAGTTTAAGGTTGTTGCTGCAGCATGAGTTTTAGAGAGAGGGAATGTGAAAAATCAGTTTCTCGGGTTAATGGGTCGGTGGCAGATACTACTACTACACAGTTTACAATTGATGAGAATCTTCTGGTTGATCCCAAATTGTTGTTTATTGGTTCTATAATTGGGGAAGGAGCTCATGGAAAAGTTTATCAAGGAAGGTTAGTGGATGTATCATCTATTTTATGGAAATGTTTATATAGTTTTCATAATGATTAAATTTTTGCTTCATTAGTAGAACGTTTGCACCGCAGACGCGTAAAGGCTTTTGTGATTTCGGTCGGTATAGGTGTTACCACACTAATTGTGGTCGTCGCCGCGGTGTGAATTAACCACAAATTGTTCTTTAACGTAATGAACGGTATCGGTATCGGCATCTACCAAAACCGTTTTTTCTCTACTTTCTGTTGTTCTTTTGGATGAATGTTCAATAAGAAATCATTGTTTGCTATGGCTAAAATTTGCTTGAGTGACTGTGAAGGTTTTAAATAGCGGTTACGTATAGACTTTTGCAATTTCGATCGGTACAGGTGTTGTGAAGTGATTGCTGTCGTCGTGGTGAGAATTAATCACAATTTGTTCTTTATCATGAAAACGATGAATAATAGTGTCAGCATCGGCACCTTCCGGTACCGTTTTGTCACAGCCGTTTTCGCGGTAACGAACTGTTTTTTAAAACCTTGGTGAGTGGTTTTTAGTTCAAGAAGTGAATAACTGAATGTCACACATTTTAACCAAGTGGTTAAGGTTTGTCAAAAAAGACCAAGTGGTTGAGGCCAAGTTGTTAATGAGGTCTAGTTTAGGATGTGAATTGTTCCGGAGAATGTGAGATCATTTGATATGCTTTACTTACCTTCGGTTTGAACTCTGGATTACCGGAGCCCCTTTACTTACCTTCCGTTTGAACTCTGGATTACCGGAGCCCCTTTCCTCTGAAATCATAGAGTTAAAAAATGATGTCACAAGTTTCACTAACTGAGTTGGTGTTTTCGTTTTCTACTAATTTGGTGCGTCTTGGTTCTACAATGATAAGATCATTATATGCTTTTGATTGAGTTTACTTATGAACTACTGACTTAATGATTTTCCAGATATGTAGATCGAATTGTTGCTATAAAAGTTCTGCAGCGTGGGAGCACCTCAGAAGAAAGAGCTTTGCTTGAAAATCGTTTTGCACGGGAAGTTAATATGATGTCCCGTGTCCACCATGACAATCTTGTAAAGGTAGTAAATGTCATTGCTGCGATTATCTTTTAACGTTTTTGTGCGGTTATGTTTTACTGAAGCCTATCTATCTATGTGAAGTATGTTATAGTTTATTCTCCTTTGTGCTAACATTTGATTGTTGATTTTCTCTGATTGAAGATAGCTATCTCACTAAGTTGATTTTGATTTTCTTATGACTATTCTTTTGCAGTTTATTGGAGCATGCAAGGATCCTCTAATGGTGATAGTTACAGAACTTTTACCGGGGATGTCACTGCGAAAATATTTGACAAGTATCCGTCCTAATCCATTAGACCTTCATGTGGCTATAAACTTTGCCCTTGATATTGCTCGGGCCATGGATTGGCTGCATGCTAACGGGATCATACATAGAGATCTAAAACCTGGTATTATTATGAATATATAGTAGATATTAATTGTATGTAGACGTTTCGTTTTGGACCTAATGGCCGAATGCTAGGTCGAGGTATATACTGATGAGTTCAAAACTTAACAAGCGTTGTGTTTTTGAAACTGTGACAATGCAGACAATCTGTTGCTTACAGCAAATCAGAAGTCTGTAAAACTTGCAGATTTTGGTCTTGCAAGAGAGGAATCGGTGACCGAAATGATGACTGCAGAAACCGGAACTTACCGATGGATGGCACCAGAGGTATGCTGTCTTTGAGACATGATTTGATTGTTTTATCGATAACTATCCAAAAATATGAATCAGAGGGTTAATCACATGACACTTTACGGTGCTTATCATTTGGCACTTACAATGTATCATTTAGCAAAATCTTTTATGACAGCTTGTGTTTTTGCAGTTGTACAGTACCGTAACGTTACGTCAGGGAGAGAAAAAGCACTATAACAACAAGGTTGATGTGTATAGCTTTGGGATTGTTTTATGGGAGCTACTAACAAATCGCATGCCGTTTGAAGGAATGTCCAATTTACAAGCTGCTTATGCTGCTGCTTTCAAGGTACTAAACTCGAAATTTCTGTGTTTATTCATCAATATGCTGGTTATATTTTTTCCCGATTCAAATTTCTCAATCAGGACCTAAGGATAGTTGTAATAGACCTTATAACGTTACTGTTAGATCATCAAATCTGGTTTAAAAGAAAACAAATACGAAAAGTGCAAACAGAGAACACACTAGATTTGATCACGGAACTCTGATCAAATTTTTTCTACGTCCCCCCGACTACAAAGTGGCTGGAGAGCCTTTCTTCTATTACTTTCATACTTTCAAAGCTATTTTTTGCGAGTTATTGGATTGTTGCTATTTTCTAATCAAGAAATGATTTGCATTTGAGATTGCAGCAAGAGAGGCCGAAAATTCCAGACGATATATCACCCGATCTTGCTTTCATCATACAATCATGTTGGGTTGAAGATCCTAACTTGAGACCAAGCTTTAGTCAAATCATCCGGATGCTCAACGCGTTTCTCTTCACCCTCTCACCACTATCTCCTCCCTTACCAGAACCTGACAATGAACCAGAGGCGGCTTCAACTAGTAATGACAATGGTGCCATTACTGAGTTTTCTGCCCGGAACAAAGGAAAGTTTGCTTTTCTTCGACACTTGTTTTCTTCGAAAAGGATAAAAAACTAACCGCAAGTGCTAAAACCTTTTACCATTCCCTTTTGTTGTAGGTGAACATGAGTAAGTATATGTAAATTTTAGCACATTCATTGAGTAACCACTAAGGTTACAACTAGAAAGGTTGTAACAATCTCCACAAAAGAATAGAATGTTGTTTATAGAGTTTTTGAAAGAGCAAGAAAAAACAAAAGGATTGTTTACACTATCTAATTAAGAAACGTTATTTTTAGTGTTAAGTAAGTCATTGTAAAATTCTTGTTTGCAAAGGAGGTTGCAAGGTTAGCTCATCATAGATGATTTATTGTGATTGTTGTTAGGATAAATGTGTTTGCTTCGAAACTAATCTTCATATATAGTCTAGAAATGAAATTTGAAGTTTTTTTGGGTACTTTTAGGGAAAGAATATAACCGAAAGCATATTTTTAAAGTCAATACAATCCAATTTAATATGTTTTTTTGTGGCTGCTAATTATCCACGCTATCTTTAAAAAAAACGTTATGACAAAATATGCATCTTTTGGACAATAGTGCGGTCTTGCTAAAGCTATGATTTGAGATTTTATCTGATACCCCACTTACACCTTTATGTTTTATAAAAAAAATTCTAATTTCTAATGTGTTTATCTGATTTTTTTAAAGAAATATTGAAATTTTCTAGTAAAAATACATTGATTTTTGGGAAATTTAGGAAGAAATATTAGATTTGTTTTTGAAAAATCTGATATCTTTATGGAATTTTAAAAATTGCCGATAGTTCAAATTTGAAAATTTATTTTATAATATCGATTTCTTTAGAAAAATCTAATAAACTACAATATTTTTTGAAAAATTTGACAAACTACATTATTCAAAAAATTTGGTAGTATTAATTTTTTATTTATAGAATATTAACTATTGTTTTTTTAAAAAATTTGGAAAACTATCAAAAATATCAAATTTATCAAAAAATTTAGTATGTTCAATTTATTTTTCAAAAAATCGATAAAAATACATTTCAAACTTTTAAAATACACTACCAGATTTTTGCATTTGAAGGTGAGAAAAACACAAGAAGGGGTAGAATTGTGTTGACTTTTTTCTCTTTCAAGCTTTTTCTTCTTCTGCTTCTGATAATTCTCAATCAAATTGTGAACACTTGGTTCAGAGTCTGACTTAAAAAACTAGGTTTACTTCTGAAATCCCTTATCAGATTCTGAACTAAAATCTGACTTAGAGTATCAGAGTTGACAACAACGTAATATAGTTCAGAAGCAAGTAAAGTAAATCAGAGACACAGATAGTTATTCTAGTTCCTCTCACAGCTTGAGAGTAGTTCAGACTCCTTGTAATTTGAAGGGATTTCCACTATGACCAAGCTGATTACAAATGCTCAAGTACCAAGCAAGAGACTTTCAATGCTCAAACCCACAAGTAAGAGGCTTCAATGCTCAAACACACAAGTAAGAGACTTTCAATGCTAAAACCCTCAAGTAAGAGACTTATATGCTCAAGCACACATGCAAGAGACTTCAAATGCTCAAGCACTAAAGAAAGAGACTTCTGACTCTATAACAAAATGTTAAGAGATTTGAGTAACAACTACACTTGATATACAATCAGAAGTGTAGACAGAATACAACTTAGAAAGACTCTAAGACTTAAGAACTTCTAAAATATATACAATGTTAAGATGTTCTAAGTCTAGCTTGTTTTTGGCATAGTAACTTCTCTTTGAAATGTCAATGTTCAAAGTTTTGTATAGCAGTGTATTGGTCTTCTCCTTCAAGTCTTCTTCTCCCTAAATAGAGAGGAAGAAAAGAGACGTTGAAGACTTTCACCAAAAGGTTAGGCTAGCTTTATACTTGATTAGACACATTGAGAAAACACCTTTCCGCGAGAGAAATTATCCGTTTAAGCTCAGACACCAAAGAAGAGAATTTTTCTTAAGTCTTCACGTGAATAAAAAGTCTTTGAGTCTGTCAGAGTTTCCTCGATAGAAGAAAAGATGCTTCATAGGTTGACTTTCTTCAGACTTCACTCTTTAGAGGCTAATCACTTCAGAGTCTGCTTCTCAACTTCTGAAGTTTCAGAGTCTGGATTGCCAGAGGTTGACTTTCTTTAGAGTTGACTTCTTCAGAATCTGAGTCTTCAATCAAAGCCATTGCTTTTAAAAGTGACCTTCAGAGCCGGAGTCTAAACTTCAGATTTAGAATCCTCAAGTTACTTTTCATATGTTCTCAGTCTTATAATCATGCATACTTGAACAGATGTTAGAAAGTCCAATTGTTCTTTAAATACTTTGTTATCATCAAAAACCAAGAATAAGGTATCAACCATTGTTAGACCAAGATTTGATTCTGCATTTGGCCTTTGGTTTTGATGATAACAATACATTAATTCTTAAAGAACAATTTTGTATACTAATGGTTTCTGTCAAGTGTGTAGCTTTTGTTATACATGTTCTGACTCTGAAGCCAAATTTTGAATCAACACACTTTGATTCTGAAGAGATACAAGTGCGTCACAAGAAGTAGTCAAGATCTAGAAAGTAGTTAGACAACAATTCTGAAGAATGTTTGTGCTAAAGCCTATGATCGTGACTCTGACTAAAGGAGCCTCTGAAGGTTATGTCTCCTTCAAGACTCTGCGATCCAGAAATGAAGATTCTGAAGAACAAAATGTTGAAGACTCTGAAGACCAGGTTCTGAGGAACAATGTCAAGACGCTGAAGACTCAAGTTCTAAAGATTCTCAACAAGGACCTTGATTCTTCTAATCATGCTTCAAAAACTACATTCAAAAGCCTCTAAAGATTAGAAGATGATAAGAAAAAATTGTTACGTGAGATAAATAGTACACAGTACAAGATCAAAATATTTCTTCCACTACATGGATTTTATGGAGTAAGGACATTTATGTTGTACGATTTTGTCTCCCACCATTGATAACGGTTATTTAAGGCGCCAACTCATACCTGAAGATTCCCATTCTATCCTCTAACAAATCTTTCTTTGGCTATATAAGGAAAACTTGATGGAATGGATCAGGAAGCTACATTATGAACGATCCCAATACACTATTCACACGCTGCTGCATTTACTCTGATAATATTATTCTTGTGAATATTGTATAAACACACTTAGAGCTTTTGTTCATATTATGTGAGTAATTCTTTGTACTTAAACGTTGTGTTAATTAGCTTTATAGAAACAATCTTTGTAAACACAGTCTGTAAAACCTCAAATTTGTTTGAGTGATTACCTTGACTGACTAGGGTTTAGTCTGTATACTCGAGAAGACAAAGACAGTTGTCTTTGTGGCGTATGTAATTAGTTTGGTTATAGTGGATTAAGTCATTATTGAGAAGGCTAAATCACCACCTTGGTAGGGTGGACTGGTGGTAGCTTAGTTAATTGCGAACCAGTATAAAATATCGTGTTAATTTTATTGTTCGTGTGATTGCTTTGTCAATCGGCTTCGAAAAAGAATTATCTTTGAGAAACCCAATTCAAACTCCCCTTTCTTGTGTTTCTTGCCACCTTCAATTGGCATCAGAGCTCTGGTTCTGATCTTGATAAAATTATGAAACACCTAACAGTGTTAGATAAAGATCCAATTTGCAACACAATGCCCGGCGTTCCACCTCTAGTTGCTTAAATAAATGATAGATATCACTTAAATGCTAAACCTTCAGTTTTTGATGGAGATAAATTTGACTATTGAAAGGATATACTAGAAAGCTTATTTCTAGGTCACGATGTAGATCTATGGGACATGGTAGTCGATGGCTACACACGCCCAATAGATGCAAGTGGCAACACAATCTAATCAAGAGTGATGTCGGATCAACAGAAAAAGGACTTAAAAATCATCATAAAGCAAGAACCATCTTGCTAAATTCCATTTTTTACACTGAGTATGAAAAGATCACCAATATAGATACTTCCAAATCTATATTTGATTCTCTGAGGATGACTCGTGAAGGGAGCACACAAGTGAAAGAAATCAAGGCTCTTGCCTTGATTCAAAAATATAAAAAGATGGAGGACGATGAAATTGTTGAAAACATGTTCTCAAGGTTTCAAACTCTTGTCGTAGGGCTTAAGGTTCTAAGCAAAGGGTATTCTATTATTGATCATGTCAAAAAGATCATCAGAAGTTTGCCTAAGTATTGAAGACTAATGGTAACTGCTATGAAGTTATCAAAGGACCTCAACAACACTTCTCTTGAAGAACTGGTTCGTTCTTTAAGAAGCCTTGAGATTGAGCTCAAAGAAGATGAGCCAAAGAGAAAGAGTAAGTCTATTGCTCTAAAGTATTCAGGAAGATTTGAGAAGACAAAAACTCTTCAGGATAATACCGATGAAGTGTTTGAAGAAGAATCAAAAGAAGAATATGAATTGTCTCTCCTTTCTGGACGCGTGAATCAACTCTGGAAGAAAAGGCAAGGCAAGTTCAGAGGACAAAGAAGGAAAAATGTTCATTCTGAGTCTACTTCTTGATTCAAGAAAGCTAGAGCCAACAAAGAGGTCATCTGGTATGAATGCAAGGAGCCAGGTCATTATAAATATCATTTCCCCAAGATGAAGAATGACATACCTAAGAAGAAAGACTTTCATGGGAAGAAGAAAGGTCTTATGGATGCATGGGACAATTCAAAATCTTTAGAAGATGACTCGAAAAAGGAGCAGGAGAATATGGCTCTGATGGCATTCACATAAGCTCCTATAGAAACAAGTCAACCAGAATCCGAGTCTGATTTTGAAGAGGTATTTTCTAAACTCTCTCATTCTGAGCTTGAATCAAGCCTATCTGAAGTTCTAGAGAAATATCAGAAATTTCTGAACAAATACAAGGATTTGAAGAAGATTCATGTATCTAAATTAGAAGCTTACTGTAAGCTTCAGAAAGATTTCTCAAGTTTGAGTGAAGAAAATATGACTTTGAAAAATAACTTTGTGCCTTCAAGCAAGAGTCTCAAACCTGAACAAAAAATCATTTCTAGAGCCTCTACAAGTTATGGTGATATCA